GTGTATGTGTATGTGTATGTGTATGTGTATGTGTATGTAATGTTCTGGTTCTCAGAACTCTGAGTATGCAACAGACCTGAGGGGGGAGTAGTGGGAGGAAAAGGTTCTAGGAAGAGGAAGCAGCAGGTGCTAAGGCCTGGGGCCTGAATGAACTTGGTGCATTTGAGAAGCTGAAGAAGCCAGTGTGCCTGGGGTGAAAATGCAGAGAGCAATGAGATGAGACTGAAAGGCTTGGGGGGATGTGCTAAGTGTTTTGACTTTCTATCCTAGGTGCAGTGGGAAACCGTTGTGGGGTTTTCAGTAGGGGAATGATACGATCAGATTTTATATTCATGCCTTGAGTGTCTCAGTGAAGACAGCACACTCCTTAAGACAGGGCCAGGGTCTTACGGTTCGTGATATGCTCCCCAGAGCCAGTGCTGTGCTGTGCTGTGCATGTCACAGGGCCCGGGCAGGGCATGGTGTTTTGATGGTGATTCATGTAGGAATTCATTGATCTATAGGTTCAAGGTTTTGTTTGGTTGCATTAGATAAAAATAGAATATCTGTGTTCTCTGTAACACATTATGGGAAAACTAGGGTTGTTTTATGTACTAAAAGGATAAATGCCTTTTTCTTCACACACATACACACACACACACACATAATTTTTTTCAAGGGAGACCATTTCTTACCACTGGAAATCCATAAATGATTTATTACTTTTCCTAACCCCTCTCTATTCCTAGCTGCAGACTATTTCTTTTTTCATTTCGCCTAAAAAATTGTCCAGCTAATAAATAGGTTCACAGGCAGACAGAGGGAGCTTCCACGGGTTATGAGAAAATGCCAGGCTCTTCAAAGACCTCCATGGATACAAAACCATAAATCTCAGAGAGCCCCTTTTGAAATGTCACTCACCTTCCTTCCTCATAGGAAACCAGGGCCGGGAGAGAAATTAACGAACGTTACAGTTCATCTGGACCTTGTTACTCAAACCAGCAAGAGGATGGTAGAGGAGGATGGACCCAGCAGAAGAGAGTCCTCTTGGAGTTTTATAGTTTCCCATTAAACACACACACACACACACACACACACACACAACCTCCTGAACTTTCTAGTAAGGCAAATGTACTTATCCAACGGCACCTGGAAAATATTATTCACTGATGACAACCCACAGAGTTATCTGTTTGCCGGGAGTGAGGTGGCAGCATAACAGTGCAGGAACAGGAGTCCTCATTAGTTCTCAGGAGATCTCTGAACAACGGGACTTCGGAAGACGAAGCCATCAGGGATGTTTTCATATCATAAAGCTCGAGGCCTCCACAGGCTGGGGAAGTTGGCTTTGTCTTCTTTTTTTGTTAATCCTCACTTGAGGATATTTTTCCATTGATTTTTAGAGAGAATGGAAGGGAGCGGGAGAGACACAGAGAGAGAAACGTGGATGTGAGAGAGACACATCGATTGGTCACCTCCCACATGAGCCCTGACCAGGGCCGGGGATCAAGCCTGCAACTGAGGTACATGCCCTTGACCGGAATCTAACCCAGAACCCTTCAGTCCGAGGGCCAAAGCTCTATCCACTGAGAAAAACTGGCTAGGGGGGAAGTTTGCTTCTTCGTATCACTTCTGGTTACTATTATTGGTCTTCAAAGGAAATAGGAATTCATTCATTTATTGCCTCCTTTTCTCTCTCCTTCCTCTCCTTTTCCCTCCCCCCCTTCTTTCCTGCTTTCCATGCACTGAGTACGTTCCATTATTAATGTTTAGTGGGTGCTGAGGTGGATGGACAGAGTTTAAGCTGACTGTACCCCGAGCTGGGCCCCAGCTCAGGTGGGTGGGCTGGAGCTGTTGAGTGAGTAGGTAGCTGCGACTGAAGACTCGGAGGGATGGGGGCTCCCAGGAGGTCCTCCTGCTTACCACCTTGCTCTAGGAAGGGGCTGGTTCATCCTCGTGGTGGCTGGTTTGGGCAGCTTTCCATGCTCAGGCCATTTGTTTGTATATCAGTAATGGCACCGAGGTCAGCCTCCCTGGATCCAGCCTTTGGGGATTAGGGATTAGTCAAAGAGAAGCTCAGTCTGCCCCTGCAAAGCGGCCCTGAGACCTTATCGCTCATCTTCCTGTTTAGTCCCCTTTGCACACAGACGAGTCGCCAGATGCCACCTCTCAACTGGCTGTTTCCTTCATCCTGGGACCCGTGTGGGCCTGGTTTTTTCTCAAGTGTGTTTTCATGCCCCTTCTTGGATGAACTAGTTTGGGACTCAGTATGTTGGCCCAGGTGTGTGTCACCTTTGCCCATTACCCATATGCAAGGGATGGGAAGGGTCTTTCGGATTTTACTTGAGCCCATTCTCCTGCCTACAGGAAAAACCGCCTGTGCACAGAGTTGCCCATTCCCTTTCAAACAAAATTCAACGCAGGAAAACCTGTTTCCCTGCTGGGAAGCGCCCCCTCGGCCAGCTAGAGCTGTGCTAGTGCAGAGGCTGTCTCCTGCCTTCCGTTCCTTGGAGAGCTCTTTAATTCTGGGAATCTCAGGTCTCTGGGACCAAAACACTGTCCACTCCGAGAGGCAGGGTGCAGGGTGGTTAAGGAAGCAGACTCCTAGGGCCACACTGCCGCACCCAAAGTCTCATTCTGCTACTCACAGCTACTGCCCGAGGCCGCCTCTGTGCCTCAGTTTCCCCAGCGACGAGGATGATACCGGTATGTACCTCATGCACTCCTGAGAGGACTAAATAACGGAAGTGTCTAGAAAGGGCCCTGGCACAGAGTAAGTATGGGTAAGTTTTCTCTATTATCATCTCACCTTGGAGAATAGGAAAAACCTATTCTTAGGTTCTCATTAGCAATTTCTTCTCTTTCTTACTTGGTAAGATGTTTTTGGGTAAGGAAGACTGATCCCTATTCCTACAGCTAAAGAGATACAGAGCTTGAAAATCACCGACTTTCTGATGTCCCTTTTCGGTCTCCCCCAAGCCCAGCCCCACCTAGTGGCCGTCCTGCTTTATGCAGACTCCTGCTTTCATTTCCCAGGAGTGGGATTGCTGGGTCCTATGCCCAGTGTAGGTGTTACTTTATAAGCAACCTCTAAAATGTTTTCCAAAGTCGTGGTGCTGTTCTTCATTCTCATCAGCCAGGTATGAGAGTTCCGGTTGCTCCACATCACCAACACGTCGTATTGTCAGGTTAAAAAACACACCTTGGCTATCCTAATCGCAGTATAGTGCTATTTCATTATGGTTTTAATTTGTATTTCACTGATGATGAATCCTCTCCTGTGCTTATTAGGAATTTGCGTATCTTCTTTGATGAAGTGCCTATTATAATCTTTTAACCATTTTTAAAAAATTGGATTGTTGGACTTTTTATTATTGAAAGTGTTCCTTATATATTTCAGTTACTTTTCAGTTCTTCATATATTTTCTTTCAAGATAATTACTAAAAAATCTTTCAAGCTAATTATTAAAAAATCTTCACCTGAGGATATGTTTTTATTGATTTTGGGAGAGAGAAGGGAGGGAGGGTGAAAGAGAGAGAGGGAGAGGGAGAGAGAAACATCAGTGTGAGAGAGAAACATCGATTGGTTGCTTCCCTTACATACCCTGACTGGGTATTGAACCTGAAACTTAGGTATGTGCCTTGACTGGGAATTGAACTTGCAATCATTTTGGTGCATGGGACAGCACTCCGACCAACTGAGCCAACCGGCCAGGGCTCTTCCAAGCTAATTTTGCTCCTTCCAACTTATATTGGGTATTGATCAAGAGTTAATGCCCTGGCCCGTGTGGCTCAGTTGGTTGGGTGTCATCTTGTGCACCAAAAGGTTGCCAGTTAATTCATGGTCAGGGCACACACCCAGGTTTCGGGCTTGGTACGGGGCAAGCAGGAAGCATCAGACATTATGCTCACATAGGTGTTTTTTTCTCTCTCTCCCTCCCTTTCTCTTTAAAAAAAGAGATCAATTAAAAAAAAAAGTTTAACTTACCCTCAAGTAGTCCCAGCCCAGGGATCCCTTAAAGAAACACCAAGTAGAAGCGAACATAATGTTATATGCCACTTTACCCCAGCGGAAAAAAAAACAAAGAAAAGAAACACTAAGTAATTGCTTCCCCCCCCCCCCCCCAGCCCTTTATTTCTTCCCTTCTTGGAGCTAGCTGTTTACGTTTGGAGTTGAAAAGAACACCCTGTGTGAGCACAGAAACAGCATTCCATCCGATGCTGTGATGCTGTCGGAAAGAGCTCTGAGGCGACATTCCCAAATCTGCAAGATGGAACAAACAGATGGTTTGTCCGTCACAGCAGGGGGTCCATCACATTTCTGAAAAGTTGTCTCTTTCTTCTGCAGCATCCTGGCTTTTATTAGTGAGCAGCCTGACCAGATGGGCCGACCCGCCTCTTTGATTCTCTTCCAGCACAGGGTGAAGTTAGCCCTCCAAGGCGGCCAGGTAGGTCCTGTCTATTCCGCAGGCTTGGAGGATGAACCCCGAGGGCCCCTCCAGCCCTGCAGAGTGGGACCTGGGAGGCATTGATCCAGCCAGAAAAATAAACCTCTAAACCAAATGCAACTGAAGGAGAAAGAACGCCGAAGTTCATGCAGTCAGGAAACTTCTAATTCCCATCCTTCTCTAACAGATAGCAAAATCATAGAGGTCCTGTCAGTTAACCAAGCACTTACTAGTTGCCAGGTACTGTGCCAACCAGTTCACACAGATCTTCTCACTGAATCTTCACTCGGCCCTCAAGAGAAGGACACTGTTACTATCCCCATTTCAGAGAGGGGGAAACCGAGGCTCCGGGAGACGATATGATCAATGAGTGCGGAGCTGGGACATTCACTCTTGTCTGACAACCACGCCTGTGCCTTGAGCTACCTCAGAAACCTTTCCTCTCGCAGACAAGGAGTTGGTCTTTGTTGTTAGCTGGCACTTCCCTTTTTCTGTCAGGCTGCCTTTTCGTTGCTGATGCCACAAGTTCACCGAGAAGGGGACGGGGCCCTTTGCTTTTCTGAGTCCTTTGCTTAGGACAGAATTCCTGAGTTGTGTGTGTCGGGGGTGGGGGTGGGGGATGCCTCTACCTCATCTACATGATGACCTACCGACTGATCCATGCAGACTGTACCGTCAACACAGCTCACAGAACCAACCCTCCACTCCCACCCACACCCACACCCATGGCCTGGTTTCTTTCTGATAGACAGAAGGCTGACCGTGACCTTCTGCAGACACATTCTGAGACCTTCACGAGAGTGGGACCCTATGTCTCAGTGTCCTTCCTTTTTCCCATAACATGCATTCTAGAGTTTGAGAGGAGAGCCACCAAGCTGAGCTGAGGTGCCCACCCTGGGCACTTAGTAGGCTCACTCACCATAAGGAAAGGGCTCACACCAGCCACGCAGTGGGTGTGACTCCACTTCGGGCCCCAGAAAAATCCCACGTGTCTGTGTCCACACGTCCTGATCTTCAAGATTGCTCACAGGGAGTTGGAGCCACAAACATCAAACTGGAAACGCCAAGGGTGTGCACTCCTTAATCCAAGACAGCCCTGATTTCTGTGCCAGATAACTTTGTCCACATCCCAGAACATTAAAGTAAAGAAGGAATTAGGGAAGTTTTTTTCAAAAGTAAAAGGGGAAATATCCAAGTGCATGTGGGAGCAGAGGCTCAGGGAGGCCTCACCTGTGTCCCTACACACCTCGGCAGAAGCTCGGCGGTGAGTTACGGAGGAGGCAAGGGGGGGATAGACGGGAGAAGGAAGTTCATGTGTGTGCACGCGGTTCTCGCGAGTGTGCGAGGTGGGTGGGAGGCGGGGTGTGCTGTGCACACCCATGAGCAGTGGGTGGGAGGGTGTGTGTGTGTGGCCACTGTAGAAGGCAAGACAGTCCTATCTGAGCTCTGTGCCCTGGCCTGCCCCTGGCATGACCGGAGGGGTTTTGAACGTGAGGAAGCCCTCTTCAGCAGCGCTGCTCAGTAGCCTGGAATCTGGACTCTGCGAGGAGGCTCTGGATGAGCACAGCTTGAGGCTTTTGGTCGATGCCCCCACTGAAAGCTGTTAACAAGGCCCTTCACCAACCCTCAGTGGGGGAGAGGAGTTTTGTGTTGGGTTAGGTTAGCTTTTGTGGTTCTAGGCATTGGGGGAGAATAAAAGCACAATTATTTCCTCTAAAAGAATAGGTCAGTACCTAGATTAGTACCTGCTTAGTTTTTATTTTGAAGAAGAGGAGGAGGGAGAGGCAAGGAGTTTGTTTCCGGGAAGGAACTAGGCACCCAGACCCAGAACCGGCAAAGCCGTGAGGTCAGCAGTATGTAGCCTGGGCCCCGAGACTAACCACCTCCATGTCCCTCATCGTTCAGGCATTAACTTCTCCCTCGTTTCCAAACTGCTTTCAGGACGAGCTCTGTATATCAGCCATTTGCCCATAGTGTAAATTTCGGTAGCTAATCTCTTTCTTTTTTGTTAATCCTCATCCAAGGATATTTTTCCATTGGTTGTTAGAGAAAGTGGAAGGGAGGGGGAGAGACAGATAGATGGAAACATCGATGTGAGAGAAACACATTAATGGGTTGCTTCCTGCACATGGATCCGGGCTGCAACCGAGGTACGTGCCCTTGACTGGAATAGAACCTGGAACCCTTCATTCCGAGGGCCGATGCTCTATCCACTGAGCCAAACTGGCTAGGGCATTAGTCTCTTTCTAAGGTGGAGAGTGTGTTGTGGTTAAGGTACTAGAGCCAGCCTGCCTGAGTCCAAATCCCACGGCAAATGAATGCATTGACTTAGCTATCTCTACTTGCTACTCTGTTTAGAGTGCTTCCAACTTTCCCCATGTTACATGATGCCACCACAAGTATATTTGTGTATAGAGAGCTTCATTCCTGTGGGTTAATTTATTCCTAGAAATGGAATCATTGGGTCAAAAGACATCCCACTGGTGTGTGGATTGAGAAGTTACTCGATATCCCGATGCTCAAGATTCCTCATGTGTAAAGTGGGGTTGAAAGTAATAGTTCTTTCCTCACAGGTTTGTTGTGAGAATGAAATGAATTACTATGTGTAAGACACTTAGAATAATTGTGGCACATAGCAAATATTATACTTAATTTGTTACTATTATCTCTGCTGAGGGTGTACATTTTAAACCTTATCTCTAGTTGTGAAGGAAGGGTTATCCCTTATTGAAAAACATCTTGGGTTTTAGGGAGCATGGGACATTTCTTTCTTTAGAGCAGGGCTGGGGTCCCAGGGCCATATAAGGCTGGATAAATCATTTGGTCTGGCCCTGCCAAGGCATTAGGGGTGAGTTAATTAAATGTTTGATCAAATAGAGCAGGCTAATTTTTAAGTTGATGATTTTGGCCCTCAAATGATGTTATAAATAGCCAAATTGCTTTTGGCAGAAAAAAGGTTCCCCACCCATGCTTTAGAGGGACAAATAGAGCAGGCTAATTTTTAAGTTGATGATTTTGTTTGGCCCTCAAATGATGTTATAAATAGCCAAATGGCTTTTGGCAGAAAAAAGTTTCCCCACCCGTGCTTTAGAGGGCGGCCCTTAGCTGATGCCTACTGTTAGTGTCTACTGTGAGTGCCCAGGCAGCTCTGGGTGCCCGGGAGGTGAGTGCCATTCTCAGGGGCAGTGGCCAATGGTGCAGCTTGATGAACTCTCTTGGGCCAGGTGAACCCAAGCAGTCCAGGTTCTGAAGGCATGTCAGCTCCCTGGACACTAACTTTCTTCCCTCCGCCCGCCCAGTGTTCCCCACTCCCTGGCCGCAGTGGGGCCTCCAAGGGACTGCAGGTGCAGTGACAGGCAGCAGTAAGGGCTAAGGAGCCCCAAGGGGGAGCGAAGCCGTTTCATCACCTGCTTCCACCTGCTATCTTGGCTGCCCCAGGACCCAGGCTTCACGTAACACTGATAGGGCTCTTTAAGGCAATTGGTTGCTCAGGCCCGGGTGGGGGGTGGGGGGGGCTCCAGGACACTTAAGTTCAAGGCCTTAAAACAGCAGACGATGGATGCTGGCTACTGGGAACCTGGCATAGCTGTCTCTGTGATTTTCCCACAGCTCACATCCTGGTGCCTTAAATAGTGGGTCTCAAGGACAATGGTCATCAAAGCATTTTATGTAAAAAATTATTTCATTTTCTTTGTATTGTTTTTCATCTTTATTGAGATATAATTGACATGGACTATTGTGTAAGTTGAAGGTATACAATGTGTTGATTTAATACACCTATGTATTATAAAATGATCACTTCTATAGGGTTAGCTAGCACCTCCATCATGTTTTATAATTACCATTTCTTTACTGTGGTGAGCACATTGAAGATCTATTTTCTTAACAAGATTCAGGTATAAAATACAGTTTTATTAACTATGATCACTATGCTATATGCTAGATCACCAGAACCTATTCACCTTATAACCGGAGGCTTGTTCCCTTTGGCCAACATATTCCCCAGTTCCCCACCCCCCATTCCCTGTTACCACTATTCCAGTCTCTTGTTTCTATGAATTTGGCTTTTCTAGATTCCACATGTAAGAGATATCATACACTATTTGTCTTTCTCTGTCTGACTTATCTCACTTAGCATGCTGCCCTCAAGGTTCATCCATGTTGTTGCAAATGGCAGGCTTTCCTTCTTTCTCATGGTTGAATAATGCTCCATTATATAGGTATCTTCTATATATATAAAAGCCTAATATGCAACTTGTCCCCTTGGGAGTTCAACCGGTAGACCGGGAGTTTGATCACTCACTACGATGTGCACTGACCACCAGGGGGTGGCGCAGAATGAAAGAAGGCGGCGCCCAGCAGCTGGGGAAGGGAGGCCCTAGCCGGCAGCAGGCAGGCCCTGATTGGCGCTGATTGCTGGATCAAGCACTACCAGAGGGATCCCAGATTGCGAGAGAGCACAGTCTGGGCTGAGGGACACCCTCCCATGCATGAATTTTGTGCAGCAGGCCTCTAGTTATTGATAAAATAATAATGTTATCTCATTAAGGTATTAGCCCTTTATCCTACTTGTTGAAAATGTTTTCCCTAGTCTGTTATTTTTCCCTTTTCTCTTTTTCCCCTCCCTTTCTTTGTTCCTTCCTTCCTTTATTTCTGTTGTTTGAATGTTCATTTAGTCAAATCTGTTGATCTTTTCCTTTGACTTCTTTGTGTATAAGCCATAAGAATGTGAATACTGGTAGCAGAAAAAAGACAGGCACCTAATACATGAGGTGGGAAAATTTCTCTAGCTTTGTGTTGCTGGCTAGTTTACACCTCATTCCCTCTTTAATTTAGGATTTTTTTTGAGTCAGATGATTCACTCACACTTTGAAGGGTTTCGACATCTTGGCATTGCACCTTCGTTCTATGCGATTAGGAACAAACAGGAAGAAAGCTCCCTTTTCTCTCCACCCACCTCCCTTTGTAGAGACTATGAAGATGGCAGGAGAGGAGAAAGG